GATCAGCTTCACGCCCCGTCCGCTTTTCCCCCAGAAAAGACCCCAATACCCATTGGATATGAGGCTGGATGAGCCCCAGAGCCTGTCTGGATGACATGGAGAAGTGAAAATTCGTCCTCACCGGAATTCGAACTCCGATACCTTGGTCGTCCACCCGTAGCCAGTCGCTATACCGACTAAGCTATCTGGGCTCCTCTGCTGCGTTGTGTAGATTTCTGTGCTTAATTTCCGTTAAGTTCTGTAAACGCTGAACATATGCCAGATATTCCAGTGTTTCCTTATATTCTTCTCTCGAGAGTGCATTGTACTGTATAAGGATAATTCAATACTCCTTGGGCGACTATATATTGCATTGTTCCCGCTCGCTGTGGCTGCCATTCTGTGGTGGAAACGCTATCTTTTGTGGAGGGACTGAAATATCTGCGAGATCTCAGAATTCGGACGTACTAATTAGTACCATTAATAAACGGGGGTTAGAGAGGCTGGGGGAGATTTCTGTAGTTCGAGAGAATATTTACATATATCATTATACATTCATTGACCCGGACAACTTTCAGAAGTAATTGGTATCAAGTTTATGATACGGAAGTTATCTGCTTTGTTATTAGTCTCGTATAATGACGTATTATTTCAGTTAATGAAGTTACTGGTACGGCAGACTCGCCCATACAGTGATATTACTCTGTTCATAATGCGTACGTTTGAATGTCATGTTGACGTTTGTACACGGTATTTTAATAACATTTCATTATAGAAAGGCTTTGGGGCACGCGGTAGCGTAGTTGGTTGAGGCACTATGCTAAAAGTCGGAAGGTCCCGGGATCGAAACCCGATGAAGTGGATTTTTTCAATTTACCTAATCCCTTAAACCTCACTTTGGCCCTGGGGTCGTCTCAGCCTCTAACAGAAACGAGTACGCGGCCGGCGCGTAAGGCTGACAATCTCACCACCATCTATGAGCCGATCGTCTAGAAAATGTGGGAACCTCAAAATCTCACAACCCTATGGGTCTCCACGGCCTGTTACAAGGATACTTTTACTTTTTTTAATTTTATAGAAAGGCTTGTATTTCGTATCCAGCGAACATACGTGTATGCTCATCGAGTATTTTGGCGTAACGATAGCATTCTATGCAGTACTCTGCAATGGTCAGGACTCTTGCTTTATATTCTTGAAGTCCAGGGTTCATGCCTTGGAAGCGCAGAGCACCGAATTAGAATTTTCATACTTTTCCTGGCCATTGCCAAGGCACTACCTTAAAATTCTGGACTCCCTGCTTCCACATTCTTTCATATGCGTCTTTATCCTACTATTCGCCACTGGATAACATAGACATTTGCAAACCGCGGCAATGTTGGAGCTCAGTGCTGTACAAAGTGTATGATATGCTACTGTATTTAATATACATAAGTCTCAATAAAGAGACAGCTTATAGAGCTCCTCTGATTTGAAATACTTCAAAATTTGGGCTAAAAACTTCGAGGGAACATAACGACAGGGAATGCCTTGGAGCAGATGAGAGAATGTTATCACAAATGGTTATACAGAAGCAGAGTATATGGAATTTAGATGATTTGGATATATATGAGGTTGAAGGGTGAGCCCTCTTAAAGGCAGTAATGAAGCTTTGATTTGCATGGAGAATGAGGATGTTTTGATCATGTACGAGGGTCGTGCTGAAAGTCATGAGCAACAATCTTTTGTAAAGTAACATGCTTTATTATTGACAAACCAAATACACCACCTCAATCTACAGATCTTTCTTTATTTTTCCAAATAATCGCCACTTCTCTGTACACATTTCTCCCAGCGTTCTGGGAGATTGAAAACTTTCCTTCTATAAAATTCCGTTCCAGCCATCCGAAGACACTGACACACTGCTTTCTGAATTGCCCCCCTTGTCTCAAAACGTTGTCCACGCAGCTGATCCTTCACAAATCCGAAAAGATGGTAGTCGGAGGGTGCCAGATCAGGGCTATCGAAGGGGTGTGGAAGAACTTCCCACCCCATCTTTGCAATTGCTTCCAATGTGAGGCGAGCGGCGTGGGGGCGAGCGTTGTCCTGCAGGATGATGATGTTTCGTACCGGACGTTTATCGCGCAATGCACGACGGAACTTATGCAGCGTCTGGACATAACGAGCAGCATTGATGGTTTGCCCAGTTTCCAGGAATTCGGCCAGAATAAACCCCTCTGCATCCCAGAAGACTGTGCTCATCACCTTCGCAGCTGATGGCACTGTCTTTGCCTTCTTTTTTGATGGAGAATGCAAATGGTGCCATTCCATACTCTGCCGTTTCATTTCAGGCTCGAAATGGTGAAACCAGCTTTCGTCACCTGTCACAATACAGACCAAAAAAATCATCTCCTTCGTGTCGATATCTCTGCAGCAATTCTGAGGTGATGGCTTTTCGCTGACCTTTGTGGTCTTCGGTCAATAACCGCGGGACCCAACAGCACAAACTTTCCTATAGCCCAAGCTTTCAATCTGCTCGTGTACTGCACTGTGCCCTATTCCAAGTTTTCGGGCTATTCTCTCCACAATCACACGCCTGTCATCTTGAATGATCTCATCCACTCTTTCCTTGTTGCGTTCAGTTGAGGCTGTTCGAGGACGACAGCTCCCGACGCTCATCTTCGATGCTGGTGTTCCCATCTTTAAAATGTTTCACCCAATTTCGAACACTGCTCGCACCCATGCGCACACTTCCATAAGCACGCTGAAGTCTCTGGTGAATTTCTGCAGCAGGGATTTCCTCTTTCACAAGAAATTCGATGACGCTGGCGAAACGACATATGGTTGTCGGCCATTTTGTTAGGAGTGATACTGGTCACGTGATGCAAGCTATTAACGTCACTAGACACAAGGCAAAAAAAGTTGCTCATGACTTTCGGTACGATGAGGATAATTTGACCATGTAATTAACAATCAACACCCTTGATCACATTTCGAAGATAATATCTTTCTGGCCTGTTATTATATATAATTTATGTGGGACAATTAATTTTTAGACGTTTGGAAATGTTCTTCGTGGACGAACAATTGGCCCATTAAAATATCGTTTTTTTCACTGGCTCTACAGCCCCCTTGGGCTTTAGCCTCTGATTTTTTCAGGTTCGTGATCATTTTATAGACAGTAGGAATCCTTGGACGAGTGATCAGCTCTTCGCAAGGCCTCTACCTAAACACAGGACAACACAAACACAGAACAAATACATACACATACCAAAAATCCATGTCTTCTGTGAGATGCAAACCAATGATCTCGGCTTCTGAGAGAGCGAAGACAGTACAGACCGCTCGGCTACCGTGACCGGCAAAATTCGAACCTGCGAAATCAGTTTTCGAGTAGTCACTCCTTAAGGTTCTCACTTTTAAGGTACAGTTAATTCTGTACAATATGTCTGCTGGGAGATGTTCGGATTTATCAGTTTTCATAATATTAATCACTTGGTACAAACTTCAGATTCTCTGTACTAATTTCCATGTCTCCGAGGAGTGACGATCATCCATATGTTAATCCACCAACCTATCCATCAATCACGGGCCTGCGGTCTCAGCAAGCAGATGTGGGGTCCTGCAAACAGATCAACAGGTTATCAACCATGCCGTTAGAGAAAGCGGATTAGCTAGTTTCCCCGTGCTAATTGTACTAATCTAACCGGCTGATAGGCAATTTTCCGGTCCCAGAGTTCCATAACGTTTCGTAAGTGGAAAGTAATCTAGTTTTGTGATGACGGCAGTTTTTCCAGCCTCAGCCTTTAGCGTTATCTAGTGAATGATTTTGTGGTCACACACATATCCGCGTTCGCTACTTAACGGTCTGTTATTTCGACCTTCAGGATTAGAGGGAAGATCGGTTTCAATAGTGACGTATTTTGTCCTTCTGTGAATCATGCTTCCGCCCGTCAAAGCAGCGGCGTTAAAATTATTTGAATTTGAAACTTAACACTGTAGGTAATTTGATACTGTCATCTGAAATACGCAATTCTGGTGACATTACTTCTTCTCTGTATGTGTGGTTATATTTTTCAAAGCCCATTCGCTGTACAATGCAGCGGGTATTGCAGTTCCACTAGGAAACATTAGAGACTTTAATATCATTTTTCCTTCATTTTTGTATAATAATGTTATTCATTTCACTACGGTTTACTCAAAAATGAAATATGTAACACCACCACTATGTTCGACAGTCATTTATTTAACACGAACCTTTGGTTATATGTAAATATTATGTTACTGTAAAGTTATGCTTGCCCTGCATCTATTATGCCGTACAATATGTTGTACAACAATAAACAAACTCCGTGGCCTGTAGCCTGCAAGCGAACTATACCGACCGAGCGACCGCCGCTTGTCGGCTAAGTTATTGCCAACTTTAGCGGATAGAGATGTCATGTGGTGAGCAAAACGAATCCCCACGGCCGTTAATCTCGGTTTCCTAGACCGGAGCCGCAATTTCCTTGAAATAGCTCCTCAATTATCCTCACGAGGCTGAGTGGACCCCGTTCCAGACCCACTACTTCTCAGAAGATATGTTATCGCCGGGAATCGAACCTGGGAGCTCTGGATCTGTAGTCAGTAACTCTGACCACTAGACCACAGAGGCGGTCACAATATGTTATATATAGTATATAGTTTTTCCTACATCTGCATAGTTTTTCTTTGTTTTTTATTTATTTAATTTATCCAACTCTGTAATTGGCTCCTGCACCTATTGAGCTAACATGTAAAAATTAAAGATTCAATTGGAATTTTTTTTATCACCGTCATTGTCATCGTTACAGTTAATTCTAACATAAACGTGCAGTTTATTTCCAAGTTTCAGTAGTAATGAAAACCATTAAACCCCCCGCAAACACTCCTTCACACGGTCGCACCAACACAGTAGCAACAGTCAAACCTGAAATTTGTTCCGAAATATATTGGGCCACGATGCGAGAGAATATAACGTGACAGAAATGTAATAATAATATTTGTTTTTGTCTGTTTGTTTGCAGGTGTCATCAGATGGAAACATAACGTACTCAACTTTGACCTTCACCCCCACGCTTGCAGACCATGGAAAAACCTTGACATGTAGAGCAGTCAATAAATTTATTGACGCAGCTGTCGAGGAAGATTCATGGAAACTGAATGTATTTTGTAAGTATGATACTAGATGTTATTTCTACAAAACTGTTTCTTATTCAGACACTTCGTTTAATGATTTTTTTATTTCTCAAATTGGTGAGATAAATGAGATAAATTTATCTTAAAAATCAATAGTTATACTATACGTTATTTCACAGGCAGCTATCAGACTCACAATTACATTAAAATGAATCGGCATGATTCATGCAACGTAAACTTAATAGCCCCATTGTTGTACCACAAGCATAGGTCTATTGAAAATGAAGTCTGATTTCTCACAATTACTCATAGTCCTGAGAAATATGTAGAAGTAACATTATATCAGAGTTAGTAAATTACATCCATTTATCTTCTTATTGAATATGGTCGTATGTGTGTGCGCATGCGTGTGTGAAATAAACTTTATGTTAGGTACAACTTCTTTAAATGGGCAGCAGAACAGTCTACTTTACGTAAACAGTACTGACATTTAGGTTGGCAGCAGTGTTCAACAGAATAACACAGATTTCCAGATAGACGCTTTCGTTTCTCGTTTCTGTGACACAGAATCTAAACTTCACGAATGTGAGAGAATGACATGCTACTGACAGACACTTAAATTTGTCTTTATAGTTGTCCCTATGTTGAAACTGGAGCTAGGACTAAATCTCAACCCTGATGACATCGAAGAGGGCGATGATGTGTATTTTGAGTGCAAAGTTCATGCCAACCCCTGGGCTTACAAAGTCGTCTGGAAACACAATGTAAGTAAATGTTTTCCTGTTTGTTCCTTACCCTCTTATTCGGGCTGAATACGAATTTCATTTTTCTGTAATGAGATACAGTTGAACACGAACAGAATTACAATAGGCTGGCCATCTATTTCCACTCCCGCTATAGGGATAGTTTTTCTGAACGATCTTTTCAGTTCAGCGGACCAATGTTGGTGAACTTTTAAGCTTCCATGTATGTTTATATCTTTGAATTCACAGTGTTCTGTAATTTCAGTATACATTGATATTAAGAGCACGTTAAAACTCTCAAACACATGTTGCCGTTTGGTTCATAATCTGTATTGTTATACAGCCTATGTACACCGTAGATGATAAACTGTACAGAACTATAATTATTCGTTATTCTGTACCATTTTCTATAAGAGAAGCGAATAGATTATGGCTTGAGAACAAGACTCTGAACATGTTGTGTGGACCATCATCCGCTGCGCTGACCACGCGACACCCTCTAACCGCTAAAGTTGGCACTAACTTCGCCGACAAGCGGCGGTCGCTCGGTCAGTATAGTTCGCTTGCGGACTAGAACAAGGGTTTCCAAACTACGGCCCGCGGGCCACATGCAGCCCGCGATGTGATTTTTATCAGGCCCGCGAAAGAATTGTGCAGAAATGCTCCAGTTGAACTAATTTTCCTGTGAGTACTGATAAATGTAGTTCCGAGTTATTGACCTGACATATTATATTGCGTTTCGATGGCTTAGCTGTTGAAAGGTTCTTTCGCGCTTCTTTCAGCTCAGGAATGAAATTGATATATTTCTTACCGAGAGAAACCACCACGACCCACTTTTATCAGATACCGAGTGGCTTTGGAAATTAGCCTTTTTTGCTGATCTGGTGAACCATATGAACCATTTGAATTTAAAGTTTCAGGGTGAAAATAACTTACTCTGTGATTTATTTGCACTTATCAAGGCATTCAGAGCAANGATCTGAGCAGTTTCCAAATTTAAAGAAATTTGCTTGTAAATTTATCTCCATTTTTGGGACGACATATCTGTGTGAACAAACTTTTTCCAAGATGAAGTACATCAAGTCGAAATACAGGCCAAAAGTTATCCGATGAACATTTAAAGTCGCTACTTGTGATTAGCGTTTCAAAATTTGAACCTCAATTTATTCAGATTTTAAGAATGCAAAAAGAGTTCCATCATTCACATTAATTGTTTTATTATAAATTGTAATGAAAATATGAGCATTTGCTGTTGCTGTCTGTTGTCATTAATGTACGATAATTTATTCTCATGTACTTTGTATTTAGTTTATGAAATTCTGTTCTTTCAATAAAACTCATATACCTAGAGTTATTAATTTCTGATTTTATCCGGCCCGTTGAAAGTGCTGAATTATCTAATGTGGCCCGCGGTTCGAAAAGTTTGGAGACCCCTGGACTAGAACCACGGAGTTTTGTTTGTTTGTTTCTTTGTTTGTAGTTCATAATTTTTTAAGTTTGCTTAAACCTGTAATGCTGATTAGGAGCGCATAATCATTGTGTTCAGGTGAGTGATGAAACCGGAATGGAGGACAAATTAAGAGGAGACTGGAGAAAAATGCGTAACCAGGAGCTACCTATAATATATGTTATTAGGCTGATCACGTCAGAGACGTCTTGAAATGAGGACACTGCTTGGTAGACCTAGCGTAGATTGGAAGAGAATAGCGTTTCAATAGATCGTTGGTAAATAGAATGTGAAAATATGGATTGGCTACATATGGCTAAAGATAGGGACCATTGGCTGTCACTTTTGAATATGTTAATGAATAAAATATGTGAATTTCTTGGCTAGATAAGTAACTATTATATTCTCACAAACGACCCTGCCCCATGGAATGTGTTAGTTTACGAACGAGTTCTAAATTAAAACAAATCTTATGACGTATTGTGATCAAACATTTTCTTGCGTATTAGCATGTAATAGGCCTATGATGGCTTGAGATTAGCACAGAATATTGTGACATATCGACCTACTGCTAGGCAACGGCTCAATAAACACGTTCCGACGAAGAGAGATTCATGGTAAACAGCCCGTTCCTGGGTAATGCGTACAAATATACGTGACAATAATGGATATCTAGTGCTAGGTAACGGAGCTGTAAACACGCATCTACAACAGTACGCTACAATAACGGACATCCCGTGATAAGCAACGGAGCTGTAAACACGCGGATATGACAATACGCAACAAGAATGAAAGGTATTTCTGTGGGGTCCTTGCCCAATCCATATAACGAGTCCGTTTATAGCTTTGAATGAATGAATGAATGAATGAATGAAAGTATGAATGTGTAAGGGGTGGGCCTTCTCGACCCTTGCACCGCGAGCTACAATGACCGTTAATCGCTAGATCAGAGAATTGGAATTCGGAGTACAGGATTTTTAAGAAGAGGAATTAGCAGTCAGCCTAGGAAGATTTAACATTTGATTTGAAGACTTTATGTATGCTGTAATACAGTGATATCTGGATCGTGACTGACATAGTTCCTGTGTTAAAATCCGTTTTCAGTAGACGGATAATGGAAACATATGTAAAGGCATATCTATTGTTGAGATCTGTTACATAGCAACGACTAGTGAAAGCAGACATTGAAGACTATATTTTGTGTACCGTAGTTTCAGCAATCTTTAGAGTGTTATAATTATTTATAGTTACGTCTTGCGAGTATCCGATAAATCTATCCATCTAATCCAGAACCCATTATTATTAGTCACGCTAACCCTGAATACGTGACAATATTTTTAATATTCAGCCGCCTCGTTGGAAGAGAACTTTCTTTTCAGCCATGAATTTCCTAGGTGGATATATGTAACTCACAATAAAATATTTACGGCCAGACAAATGATGACTCTTTGGATTCTAAGGGACCTGCTATTTATTGGAATTCTTTCCTATCGCATGCAATGACATGATTGTAATAGCTGGGCTCATATAAGTGTCAAGAGTGCAATAATAGTCATGCCAATAATGGTAGATCTTGTAAATATGATGACAATGGAATATCACTGACAATGGATATACCTTTGTGTTCATCTTTCATACATTGATCACCCTGTATCTGAGGACCTGACAGAATTGCTACTATCACTTCACCCTTTACATCATGTAAAATAACCTATCTCCATGCCATAGTCATTCTAGTGGAATAACAGGAAAACATGAATTCCTAAACTGCCTGCCGTTGGACATTGCATATAACGATCAAGTTGAAGGGTGGATGTCAGCTAAACGCCCGGAACACAACTATGCGTCAAATATAATATTCACACACGCAAAAAACACACTTTGTGTAGATATTCACGTCAGCATAACAGAAACTGGTGGGTGAAGCATTACGCGGTCAATGAATAGTTAATAGCACTTGTGTATGATTTCAGTGCGTCAGGCAAGGGCGAATTAAAATATAACACAGGGCCTTGATGCTGAAGTAGCAGAGAGGTAGGTGCACATACCTATGTGAAAATATCTTTCAAACTTTAGACCATTTTGTCAAACTTCTCCATATTAACGTTCTAACAATGACCCATTTATATGTTAGTGCGCAGGTCGCTATTCTTTCTCCTGGGATAGTTTTCCTTGTATTAACTTCTTCATTAATACGTTCATTTCGTCCCGAAGTATCGACGTCGTATTAGGGAAGTTTTGGGGACACACGGTAGCGTAGCTACTTGAGGCACTATGCTACAAGCAGGAAGGTGGCGGGTTCGATTCCCGATGAAGTCACTGGATTATTTTCAATTTACCTAATCTTTACAGCCGCACTATGGCCCTGGAGTCGACTCAGCCTCTAACAGAAATGAGTAACAGGCGGCCGGATCCTCACCGCCATCTGTGATCCGATTATCTAGAGAAAATGTGGGAACCTCGACGTCCCACAACCCTATGGGCCTCCACTGCCTGTTACAGGGATAGCTTCAATTTTTTGGTACCTTTTATTAAGAAAGTCTTTTTATATATTACATGGACAGTTTTCAGTATACCAATATAAAATTCGACTAAAAAGATTATGCCATAGTTTCAGTTTGATTGGGTGCCTGTGTTTCATAATCAAGCATATTTGATTATGTTTTGTGGCGCCGTGTAGATCTTGTCTGAACCGACGTTTCTGAGGAGCATATCGCCTCCATCTTCAGGTAAATGAATATTGTTAATGACTGTGTAGTGAAAGTAGCTCTGTAAACATGACATTTGCAATTTACAAGAAGTCGCAGTGTTTCTGTATCTTAGTGAGAAAGAAAATAACCCATATCACGTGACCAAATTACAGTGCAACGTCACACAGCTCTCACTGAAATACAGAACTTAGTGGTGTTTGGAGCAGAATGGCTTGGGGGTTGAAGCACTTAAAGTAATAACCTGTCTATTGGAAACATTACAATTACATAACCTGTACCAAAGTAGTTTACTTCTGTTCTCACTGCAATGCGTGCTTTTGTTTTTGGTGGGATTCAATGTTAAGCTAGGTGCAGTTTTTGTTGGGTTTACTCTCTCTGGGACCTCCAAGTAACCCATACAAACTAGTGTAGTTTATGGAACAATAGAGAGACTGGCCTCTTAGCAAGATCTGTTGTAGGGCTGTGAAGTAACAGAGTTTGCCCTTTTCAGAGGTACACAGTACCAGATTTAGGTCTTAACACTGTACATTAGTTTCAGGTTTCAGTGGACTTTCACTTTGTTTGCCAATACCGATGAAAATTGATATTATAGAGGAAGCGCTTAGTTTAACTATTATGAATGAATGAAAATAAAATCACAATACAGAATTCTTAGCACGTTATATACCGCTACTGTATAGCCCAACATGCTGGGAAACACGATAGGTTAAAATCTGTTATAACAACATTAAATAATAGTGAAACGTCAATCTATGGCTTTGATTTATGCCACCATTTCTTTGTCATTAAAATAATAAAATGTCTTTAAACAATATTCTATTTGATAAAATATTATGTTTTTGGATATTGTCCATTGTCTTTAT